TCAGGTCATGATCTCATAATGTATGGGTTTGAGCCCTGCATTGAGCTCTGCTTGACAGCTCAGAGCCTGGTGTCTGCTTCAGATTCTGTGTCTTCCCCCCCCCCCCCCCACTGGCCCTCCCCTGCTTGTGCTCACTCTCTCTCAAAAATAAGTAAATGTACTTAAAAAAATTTAAAAATATTAACAAATAGAATTGAATACACATACATCTTGACAAATAAAAAGAAATGGAATGAATTCAGGTGATGCAAGACTGATTCATGATTCAGAAACCAGTAAGTGTAATCTACCACATTAACAGGTGAAAGAAGAAAACTTATTTATGATTACACCAATTGATGCAGAAAACTTAAAAAAAATTCTTTTGGTTATTTTTATGTGAAAAAGAAGGCTTTTGACAGGAATACATCACCCATTCATGATGAAACTCAGAAAACTAGAAATAGAGGGAAACTTCTTCAGCTTGAAGAAGAAGCTCCGAAGAGCCTGCTTCAGATTCTGTGTGTCTCTCTCTCTTTCTCTCTCTGCCCCTCCTTTACTAATGCTCTCTCTATCTCTCTAAAAAATATTTTAAAAAAATTTTTTAAATACAGGTTTTGTGAAAATTTTGAAACACTGATGAAAAAAATCTGATTTAAATAAATGGAAAAACTTACTGTGTTCATAGATTGAAAGACAACATAATGAAGTCACAATTTATATTCAAATTCTAGCAAGATACTTTTCGTAGATATAGACAAGATTATTCTAAAATATATTTCAAAAGTCAAAGTTAAGAATAGATAAAACAATTCTCATAATGATTAATAAGGGGAAGAAATCATTCCACCTGATTTTAAAACTTATTATGTAGCTCCATTAATCATGACAATGTAAGTGTCTGAAGGAAAGACACATAGATCAGTAAAGCAGAATGGAGGACTCAGAAATAGCCCTATACAAGTACAGCTGAGTGATTTTTGGTGAAGGTGTAAGATGATTAGTGTAAAATGTTGCTGGAGCAGTTGAGTACCCATAGGTGAAAAAAATTAAAATAGACCATAGATTTAAATATAAAACATTAAAGCACCCAACTTTTAGAAGATAACAAAGGTTTTATTTTCAAGACCTATGGCATGATGAAATGTTCTTAGTCATGACACCAAATGCATGATTCATAAAATCTTGGTAAAGAGTACCACATGAAAATTAATTTTTTTTCCTTTAATAAAAATGCTGTTAAATGGATGAAAAAGTGAGCTACAGACTGGAAGAACATATGTATAAACCATATTTGACCAATGACTCATAGAGAACATAAAAAGAGTTCTCAAAATTCAACATTCAGTGCTATTAGAAAATGGGCAAACAATATGAACAGACATTTCACAGAGTAGTACTATGAATGACAAACACATGAAAAAATGTGTAATTAACCTATCCTTTAAGAAAATGCAAATGAAAATTATGGGGCACGTGGGTGGCTCAGTCAGTTAAGTGTCTGACTTCACTTCAGGTCATGATCTCAGGCCCCACATCTGCCTCTGCTGACAGCTCAGAGCCTGGAGCCTGCTTCTGATTTTGTGTCTCCCTCTCTCTACCCCTCCCCTGCTCGTTCGTTGTCTCTCTTTGTCTCTCAAAAATAAATAAATGTTAATAAATTAAAAAAAGAAAAAACTATTATGATATTACCACTTAATTTATTAGAGTATCTTAAAGGGAAAGTAGCCATAATATCAAATACTGACTAGGATGTGAAAAAAATGGTTATCTCCATACGTTGCTGGTGTGAATATTAAATGGTAAACCCACTTTAGAAAGTAGCTTTGCTGTTCTTAAAAATCTACACATAACAGTATGTTTAATACCTTTATTTTTTAAGGCCATTAAGTCATAACATTTTTATGGTCTTGATGGAAAAATGTGGCTTGTAAAAACATGAGTCGAGTACAATAGAAATTGCTTTTTATTTCTGTAAATCGGTAATAAGTTTAGAATAAAGGATTGGGGGCTGTCACAGGAAACATTATTAGGACTGTTACAGCCTTATTAAAGGAAAAAGTGGTTTGCAGAAAGACATACCTACAGAAAAATATTTTTTACAGATTCCTTAAAGCTTTTAAAGCTTTTGTTATCACCATGGCTGCATTTTAGGTTTGACTCTTAAGTTTATTGAAATCGTAAGCTGTAGTTTATAGTGGGTAGGTATAGGAGTAGCACTGAAAATGTAGGTATACTCTAAAGTTTCAGCTTAGGGGCGCCTGGGTGGCTTATTTGGTTAAGCGTCCCACTGTTGATTTAGGCTCAGGTCATGATCTCATGGTTCGTGAGATTAAGCCCCGCGTTGGGTTCTGTGCTGACAGCACGGAACCAGCTTGGGGTGTGTTGTCTGTCTGTCTGTCTGTCTCTCTCTCTCTCTCTCGTTCTCTTTGTCTCTCAAAATAAATAAGCTTTAAAAACCAAATTTCAATGTTTTGGCTTAAATCACTAATATGATACGTATGTTGTTTTCATGTCCTGACATTGTAATATGGTTTACTCTTTAGGACCTTTTCCTGAGTCTGGAGCAGCAAGTTCAGTACGTATCAAAGGAACACTTGAGAAACCATTGTGGTTAAGACTTAAGTTTTGTTATATATCACTGATATATTTTGTAGCTATGTTTGAATTTTTCAAATAATGTCAGACACTTGATTATTTCCCATTTTTAGAGAAGGCAGCACAATTCTGGTGTCAGATTTGGGCTTGAGTTCCTGGCATACTATTTTCTAGCCTTTTGTAAATTCTTTTTATCATCTTTAAGCTTAACTTCATAGAGTTGTTGTGAGGAGTAAATGATACATAGTATGTCTAGTGGTTGAACAGCACAGTGCTTTGATATATGATAAGCACTCAAAAATTGTCAGTCTTTTATAACTGGCCAGAAGAAGCCTTTCAGACTCAACAGCATACAGATGTAGTCCTGTATATTGTTACTCTGGAGATGTTTGTTAATGAGTGGTCTGGAAATATATCCAGTCACAAGCTATTCTGATGAGATGAATATAGTTCAGGTAAGAGATGGCAAATTTTTGGAGGTGAGGTGACAAGCTTCAATCATTAACCATCTTCCCATCTCACCCTGTTTTTATAAGCTGCTGTGGTGTGACATAGTGGCAGAAATGCCTTTGGAGAGTGCTGGTTGAGCTTGGCTAGGCTTTGGTTTCTGTTACTTAATGAGACCTAAGGATGGTTCTTGATTCTTTCCCTTCTATATACAATACATCCAGTTGGTCACTTAAGTGCTACTGATTGATCCCCTTAATATTTATCTTCTATCATCTTGCTTGCAGCTACTACAAGTCAGGTGTTTATCATTTCTCATTATAATTAACTATAAAAGCTCCTACCAACTGGTTTTCCTGCTTCCTAACTAGTTGGGATTCTGCCCTGCTACTCATACCAAAGGTAGCTTTCTAAAATGCAAATTTGACTTTGTAAGCAGAGTTAAGAGCTCTGACAGTAGAATCAGAACTTCTGGGTTCAAATTCCATCTCTTCCTTGTGTGATCCTAAGTTAAATTCTCTGTACCTTGGTTTCTACATTTATTAAGAAGAATATTTCAAATCGAACCCACAGTCACCTGGAAAGATGGCTAAAGATACACTGCTAAACTCCTAGCCCATTACTGGGTCCCTTGATCTTGGGTTGGATCACGAAATCCATAACTTATGAAAAACATCTCAGTTGGTTCAGATACCCCTTTATGAGTCTTCCTAAGATACCATGCACTTTGTCTTTAGGTTTTTGTACTCCTTGTGTCTGATGGGCACACCTACTTTGTCCAGCTAACTCTTGTTCCTCCTTCAGTACTTGGTTCCAGGTCTGTCCTCAACCAGGAAGGGTCTGACTTTCTGATTGTGGATTTCGTGCTTTAGGAAGTCATCTCTAGTGCTCAGTGTTCTATAATTTTCCTCAAATACACTGTCTAAAATATAGGAAAAAGGTAATATATTTGTTGTAGACAACTATTATAAAAACATAAATTTCTTCACTGGTTGGCATTTGGCATTTTGCAAATTTCTGGCTTACTGATTTGATGTCTCTTCTAAGATCCTTGGGAATAAATTTTATATCCTCAGTGTCTTGTAAATCTTAAAATTGTATTAAAATTATTAATCTTAAAATCTAAAAGTTATTCTTTTAGGAAATTTTCTTTACTGAAATGAAACATCTTTATAACAAGGTCTGCAGAGTGGGGGTCATGATGCATCAAGTCTTTGTTTTCTTATTGTATCATTTATTTGGATTCATCTACCTTTCATATTTGTACATCTTTGACCTCCTGGATTTTCTGTAGTTTTTAACCGGAACTTAGTTTGATTTATTCCAGTATTTGTAGGTGAGGACATTGTGGGATAGAACCAGAAACGAAATCAAGAATGTAAAACATTGTGAGATTTGGTTCTGGGGTTTTAGATGTTTTTGTGTTTTATTTAGTGAATCATTTCTAATTCATTTAGATTTGGATGTGTGGTTGTCTTGCTCAAGGCATTCAAACTTTGTGCATCTTAGTTTTCCTGTTGGTAAAGTGACAGACTAGATGGTCTCTAAAGTTTCTTCCAGCTCTAAAATTTTTGCTATTCCAAGGAAAAATTGAATAGGTGTTCAAATATTTAGCTGTTGCTATTACAAATAAAGTAATAAGACTCATTTTATCTTTTAAGCTCTCTCCATTTTATAAATAATTCCTTTAGGCACATATAAACTTTGTTATCAGCAAAAGTTAATTTCTTTCTCTTGTTTACCTAGATTTTCCTGGACCTCCTGATTATAGTTCTTTCTGATTTGAGCGTGTTCTCGAAATAGATGCGGGAGGCTGATAAGTAGATACAACTCAAGTGTTGTCATGAAAGAACTTGCCAAATGATTTTTGTCACTGGGCTGCTAATGAGAAAAGTCAAAATGATATATGTTTCTGTTAATGTGGTAGATTATTTTGCTCTTGAGTAACATTTAGGTCTTCTTTGTTTTCATTTAAGTGCCAAGGATGACATTGATCTTGATGCCTTGGCTGCAGAAATAGAAGGAGCTGGTGCTGCCAAGGAACAGGAGCCTCAAAAGTCAAAGGGGAAAAAGAAAAAGGAGAAAAAAAGGCAAGACTTTGAGTAAGTATATTTTAAATATATTTGATTTTTATTAGCTTTGGTATTAGATTCACTTATTAAATTGTTGCCTCAAAATATATTTTAATCCTTTCTAGTGAAGATGATATCCTGAAAGAACTGGAAGAATTGTCTTGGGAAGCTCAAGGCATCAAAGCTGACAGAGAAAGTGCTGCAGTAAAGGTGAAAGACCCTTGTTACCTATTCTGCATCCTAGTGCCAGTTTTAGGGAGCTGCCTTTTAGAAGCTTTCGAGCAGTGTGAATATGTTAATTAAAAGTTTCTATAGATTCTGCTGCCAAAGGGGGAAAACAGTTTTTAAGAAAGAAATACGTTGTAAAACCCAACACAGATACAAAGACCTTTTATTTGGGATTTCAGAGGTATTTTGTGATATGTTGCTCGTTCACAATTGGTACATTTGGAGATAAAATGTTCCTGTCTCTGTCTCCAGTGTTCTTTGATCTTTCTTTTTCATTCTTTGAATTTGGATAACCTAAAGTAATTGGAAAGTGATAGACATATTTTTTTTCATTCAGGTTCCTTGTAGGCTTTGTATACCATTTGAAGAAGGTAGTAAATGTGGACTGATGATTAGTACATGTTTCAGAGCACCTGGATTCTGAAATTTACAGTGAATGTGAAATGTGCCTGAGGTCTAGGCTAGCTTCTGGTACTTGATTGAGTTTTATATTCTTGAAAAAAACGACCTTATTTTGAAGTTATTTGGAGAATTTTTTCTATGCATACTTAATAAAGTACATGATTGAGGAGTCTCAGTTATTTTAAAACATAAAATATAACTTAATATTTTTAACAATGGAATTGTTTTAGCCAACAGAAAATAATGAAGAAGAATCCACCTCAAAACAAGATAAAAAAAAGAAAGGACAGAAAGGCAAAAAACAAAGTTTTGATGATAATGATAGTGAAGAATGGGAAGATAAAGATTCAAAATCAAAAAAATCTGCAAAGCCAAAAGTGGAAATGTACTCTGGGAGTGATGATGATGATGATGATTTTAATAAACTTTCTAAAAAAGCTAAAGGGAAAGCTCAGAAATCAAGTAAAAAAGGGGATGGCTCAGAAGATGATGAAGATAACAGTAAAAGAATTAAAGAGCGTTCCAGAGTAAATTCTTCGGGTGAAAGTGGTGATGAATCAGATGAATTTTTGCAGTCTAGAAAAGGACAGAAAAAAAATCAAAAAAATAAGCCAGGTCCTAATGTGGAGAGTGGGAATGAAGATGACGACTCCTCCTTCAGAATTAAGACAGTGGCCCAAAAGAAGGCGGAAAAGAAAGAACGGGAAAGAAAAAAGCGAGATGAAGAAAAAGCAAAACTGCGGAAGCTGAAAGAAAAAGAAGAGCTAGAGACTGGGAAAAAGGATCAGAGTAAACAATCTCAAAAGAAACCTGAAGAAGAAACTATAAAATCCAAAGTGACCCTTGATGTTGGAGCAGTCCCTACTTCTGAAGAGAAAGGAGAGACTCCCACAGCTGCTGAAGGTTGGTAATATTATTAAGGAAAGGGCTGTAGGCTTGGACTCACAGTCTGAGTTTCGCCCCAAGGTCATTTTTTTTTAAGTTTATGTATTTATTCTGAGAGAGAGTGTGTGCTCACATGTGCGCAAGCAGGGGTGAAGTGGAGGGGAGAGAGAATCCCAAGCAGGCTCTGTGCTGTAAGCGTGGAGCCCACTGCAGGGCTTGATCTCACGACTTGTGAGATCATGACCTGAGCCGAATGAAAATCAAGAGTTGTGGGGCGTCTGGGTGGCACAGTCGGTTGAGCGTCCGACTTCAGTCAGGTCACGATCTCGCGGTCCGTGGGTTCGAGCCCCGCGTCGGGCTCTGGGCTGATGGTTCGGAGCCTGGAGCCTGTTTCCGATTCTGTGTCTCCCTCTCTCTCTCTGCCCCTCCCCTGTTCACGCTCTGTCTCTCTCTGTCCCAAAAATAAATAAACGTTGAAAAAAAAGAGTTGGACACTTAACCAACTGAGCCACCCAGGTGGCCCCAGAAATTTTGTTTTTTGTCCTTGGTTGTAAAGGGACTTAAGTTGTAAGAAGTGTTAAAAAATTTTTTTTTAATGTTTATTTATTTTGAGAGAGACAGAGAGAGAG